TTCCTATTAACAAAACATCCCCTTTTTCTTCGCTCTTCCGGAACCGGTATAGAAATGGGTGCTTTTTCTACGTTGTTTACCTTAGTTATGGGCGGGTTTCGGGGAAGACCTATGTGGGGCACCTTCTGGGTGTGGGATGCTCGTTTAACCTCTGTATTCATCTTGTTCCTTATTTACTTGGGTGCACTGCGTTTTCAAAAGCTTCCTGTCGAACCGGCTCCTATTTCAATCCGTGCTGGACCGATCGATATACCAATAATTAAGTCTTCAGTCAACTGGTGGAATACATTGCATCAACCTGGGAGCATTAGCCGATCTGGTACATCAATACATGTTCCTATGCCCATTCCAATCTTGTCTAACTTTGCTAACTCCCCCTTCTCAACCCGTATCTTGTTCGTTCTGGAAACACGTCTTCCTATTCCATCGTTTCTCGAATCTCCTTTAACGGAAGAAATAGAGAAGCGAATACCCAAGCCTAGTTCACTCGCTGAGTCTCTTTGCATCCATGGCTGAATGGTGAAAGCACCCAACCGGGCAAATTCGTAGGTTCGATTCCTGCTGGATGCGTCGTCAAGAAGGATTTCCGGGAATTCCTTTTTTGTTTCAATAGAATCTCTCCTTGAGTTTTAGCTCCTAGTTTGGAACTATGGTAAAGTAGTCCCTTAGCTGCCTGCCTTGATTCCCGAGTCACAGTAGCTACGCATAAGTAAGCGTGGGCAATAGAACGGAATGGAATAGTTGTTGCATTTATTCAAGCAAGGAGCGGGGTATTTTACTCGCGGGAATAAGGGAATGCGATGTCAAAAAGAAAGGATTGAATGGATGAGCGGAGCAGTGAGTGTAAGCGAACGGACCGGGCATGTGATATGCTTGAGAGGGGGGATAGTTTTCTTTGATGGAGATGTCCTGGTGTCAGCAACGGGAGCAATGAGAGCAAATCTGGTAATGAGGCGGGGGCGAAATGAAACTCTGGTTTCCGTGTATGGTATGTGTGGATTGTAGCGCAGAACAGGGCTTGACTGGAAAAGTAGTGAAATGGCAAAATAGGAAGTCTCACTGTAGGCTAGGAGCCATCGATTAGCTCGCTTGTCCTATGTTTTAGCTTCACTCATCGTATCGGCTGTTGTGTAAGGGTTGACCTTAAGAGCTCTGGTCTAGCGGCCGTTAGATGTCCTTTATAGCCACCGTGACTTTGACTTGTTTTCTGCTCTGATCGTAGATCTACTACGGCTGCGACTTTCTCTTGCTGATTTCGCTATTTCCATCCTTGAGTATTGGATATCGTGTGAGTCTTCTCCCAGTTGTTGCTTAGCTGCTTTCTGGGCATCGCTCTCTGTTTTTACAAGTAATTAAGTAAACCCCTTGGCTTGGCTCAACCTTCTAATCCTTCTTTCACTGACTACTAGGGAAGGAAAACTAAGCTGTAACTGTAGTTGGCAGTTCGAGTTCTGGACGGATGGGACCTGAAGCTCACAAGTAATAACAAGTCAGTGTGCTCTTACTTCTGAGTTCTAGTTCTTAACAGCACAAGCGGGAGCCAGGGGGAAGGCCTGAAGGTTGCAAGCCCATCCAATTCAACTCCTACTGGAACTGGCTTACTTTCGCTTTCAAACGGGGCTGCGTCGGGACTCCAAAAACAAAAAAGGCAAAGGGGATCAAAGGCAGAAAGAAGTGATTAGGCCCTGAGGACTACAAGGGGAGAGGTTGACCACTGGACTCTAACTGCCCGCAAACTCCTGGTATTCCTGCTATGCCCCTTAGCCACTTATCCTAGTTAGACAAGGCAAAGCACGAAGCACAAGAAGGGATCGGCACTCTGACAGATATTGGTGAGAAGACTGAGACACTTCGCCCTTCCAAAGAAAAGGCGACTGCTAGCGAGCAGGAGGACGAAATGAGGGCGCCATCAGAGAAAGAAGTCCCACCGAGATTGGCAGGGACTAAAGAGAATCCCATTTCTCCAAGGGACAATATCCAATAAATAGAAGAAGAAAGTCTGCCCAAGGCATGTACCAAATCTTTCACATACCCCCACCAGGTCTCTAGCTCTGCAAAGAAACTAGCTAAAACAGAGCTCGCATGAATTGCTCCTAACATAGGGGATTGCCTCATCCGCACCGCCAGTAAGCCTTTCTACCTTTCTACAGCGAAGATTCAAGGAGAACGTTGATTTCAAAGGAGTCTTCGGTCCAGCTTGAGCTTGATTGTAAGGAAATTGAGCTTGATTCTAAGGAATCGAAAGCTAAGCGAAGACCATCTATCCCTACCCCTAAGGCACTGTTGTTAAAAAACCAATGCAAAAGAGAAAAATAAATGAATGAAAAAATGAATCTAGTTCAAATAATAAACAAAAAGAATAAATAAATAAGGCAGAACGAGAATAAGCCAAATAGTCCCTCATTGAACCAACTTGAATCGTCACTTCTATTTAGAACGCAAAACCCATCTTTTTCTTTATATGTCTAAGGAATTCTGGATTTTTCGATTGCTCCTTATA